TCTCTCTCTCTCTCTCTCTCTCACTCTCACACACACACACACACACACACACACACACACACACACACACACACACACACACACACACACACACACACACACACACACAAAAAAGGATCAGTCACGTTTACCGTTATACCTTTTTTTGAGCAAAAGGGTCCGCAATGCACTGCTTCCCACTTCTCAGATATTCATATTCGCTGGTTTTCTTAATGATTTTTAATAGGAAATTGAATATTTTGGGCTTTTGGACTATAGCTTAGAAAAAAGTGTAAACTACTGCAACCTCACAGGGATTTTATAAAACCAAATAAAAAAGAAATTTAATTAAGAAAATGATAATGATATAAAATTAATTGTAGAAATAATCAGTCAAATAAACTCTTAGACTTTATTTTAGACACTTTATAGCTCAAACTGCAATGTATGAAAGACTTAACTTGGTAAACTTGCTGTAAAAACATTCAAATCCAAAGCAAAATCCTGGTTAACTATTTCACCAAATTCTTGACAATGTGTAATGTCCACCTGTCCCCCTCAGGTAACAAGCTGTCTTCTGTCCTGCCTCTGCTCCACCCTGAGTGTCTCTCCCTCCCGCAGCCCAACCTGCTCCCGGGGCAGCTCTCCCACGGGGCGGTGGGGCTGCACGGAGGAAAAGTCCGCTGGCTGTCCATGGCCTTTGAGTCCGTGAGTCCCTTCATCTCCAGCTTTTCATGTTCCTGCATCACAGAGCGACACATTTGAATTTCACTTTCATGCCTCTAACTCGACCCCTCTCTTATCCCCAGACCACATACAAGGGCAAATCCTCCTTTCAGACCTACTCCGACTTCCTTCAGTGGGAGAACTTTATCCAGGAGCAGCTCGCCTCTCTCCCACAATCCTCTGCTCTGCAACGGGGTTTCCAGACCTGCGAGCACTGGAAGCAGATCTTCATGGAAATCATAGGCGAGTGACAAAAAGACGTGTCTCTCTTCTGCAAACTTAAGATTTAAAGGTCACCTATTATGCAAAAGTCTTTTCTACTTCAACACGTGTCCCCTCTGTGGAAAGAGACTCTGAAAGTTTCAGGAAAAAAGATTCTCTCTCTTTTTGTCCTGATCCATTTATATTTTGGCCACTTTGTGATGTCATAACGATGTGTTGGCTTGTGTAACCATTAGCCAATCAGCAACCAAGGTAACCCCCCCCCCCCCTTATCACCTGAATCTCCTCCTAGAGCACCATTGTGTTCTTTTTAACCAAATCTCTCTCTGAGGGGCGTGGGGAGGGGCTCCTTATTTTCATCTAGATTAACAGACAGAGAATCAGCACTTTTGAAACAGGGCTGAAACAGAGGGGATTATGGGTAATGCTGCAATGATCTGTTTGGTATTTGGAGCCAAACACTTCAGAGACATGTTTGTATATATCTGAGACCTATACTATATTGATGAAAGACAGTATAATAGGGGACCTTTAAAGTTCAAAATGTTAATCTGTTAACGAAACTCTGATAATATTGTGTGTAGGCGTTGAGAGCGCCCTCTGGAGTCTGCTGCTGTCTCTGGTCATCTGTGTGGCCGCTGTGTCCGTGTTCACTGCACATCCTCTGCTGCTGCTCCCAGTGCTCGTAACCATTGTCGGTGAGGGATGAGAAGTTCAATGATAATAAAGGTTTATTTGTAAAGCACTTTATACACACAGGATGCAGCTCACAGTGGTTTAACAACTTGGCACATAATGATAAACAGTAAAGTAATACAAAGTCAAATGTTAAAACCTTTTAGCACAAATGCAGCATGTTTACATGTTACTCCATGACATACAAAAAGGTAAATTAAAGTATAAATACAATAAAATAAAACAAAAGTTGATAACAGATAACCCACTCAGTAAAAGCAAAAAAGACATAGTATGAAATAAAACAGTATAATACAATTGATAGATATATTTTACATGTAACAAATATAAAGATATATCAAAATAAAGGGAAATGTTGTTTGAAAAGTTAGGTTAAAATGTTGGAAGTGTATTGGATAAAAGCCGGGGGGGGGATTTTTTTTTTAATACCTGCCTTTCGGGGCCTTAGGTACTTAAAACCGTATAGAAAAAGAAAATTGTTAAGACACTCAGGAACGGGTTTTAAAATGAAACATCTAGGCCTGGGTCTGCATCATATGTGTAATTCTGAGAGCCTGTCCTCCCTCAGGAGTGATCTGTCTGGTGGTGGCCATCATGTATTGGCTGGGCTGGGAGATGGGAGCGGTCGAGGCCATTTCTCTCTCCATACTCGTGGGATCTTCCGTGGATTACTGCCTGCACCTGGTGGAGGGGTACCTGCTGGCTGGGGAGACCATGACCTCCACTCCTGGGCATAACTCGGTATGGGAGAGTACTTTCAAATTCAGCAATTAGTTAAAGTTCCACATCTGTTCTCAAAAAAGTCAAGAAGCACCCTGGAGGCGCATTAAGGAAAAGGAGCCGCTTCCAGTGGTGGAAATGAAATAAGTACATTTACTCAAGTATTACAATGATGAAGTATACCTGTACTTTATTTGAGTAGTATCTGTTCATTCCAATTTATACTTTAACTCTACTGCAATTCACAGGGTCATATAGTACTTTTTATGTTACTACATTTATTCAACATTTATAGATACAAATTAAGATTTTTTCAACAACACAGAAGTTTATAAAAAGAGAGAATAATTATAAACGAAACCAGCCAACTGTCAGCTTTGTCATTAAATCTAGTCATTGAGAGATAATTAATTATCATCTATGACAATTTAGGTAACTTACTATTTTACTGTGAACTATTTTTTTTTCTTCCATTGGGTACTTTTTTGTTTTAATACTTCAACTACATTTTGCTGATTAAAGTTATTTACTTTGACTTAAGTAACATTTCCAATGCAGGGTTTGTACTTTTCTTTTTACAGTGTTATACGAGTACTTTCACTTCATTAAAGGATCTGAGTACTTTCTCCCCCGCTTGTACTTTAATCTGTGTTTTCTCTGCAGGAGCCGGGGGTCGAGAGGCAGAGGCGGACCCTGGAGGCAGTCAACCATGTGGGCGTTGCCATAGTGTCCAGCGCCGTCACCACGGTGATCTCCACAGTCCCTCTCTTCTTCTGCGTCATTGTGCCTTTCGCCAAGTTTGGCCAGATAGTTGCTATAAACACCGCCGTCTCCATTTTGTTCACCCTGACTGTGACTGTGGCCATGTTGGCCTGGATGGCCCCCCCCCGCTTCAACCGCACCCCCCGCGCTGTGCTGAAGGCCAGCCTCGCCGTGACGGTGGTGTCAGTCTTGGGAGCGTTTATCTGCTGGGTGGGGGGACAGTTTGGAGCGCTGGCCTGGCAACCAATCAGCACCTAAACACACACCCGTCCGCCAACTCACACTGATGTCAGACAGGGGAGTTCCTCTGTTCACTGAAAGCACTCAGAGTAGCAGATCAGTAAATGATCTCTACAGCACAAAGATGTCAGATTCCTTTATTCGAAGCTGTTTCTCGTGACCAAACACATCTTTTTATCTTCTTAATCAGTGGATTGTAAGCACATGTATTAAGTGTTAATGACTCACTGAAGTGGGTCGACCTTTCTTGGTTGACTCAATGAGTCAGTTATTTATTTGATCTCATGTCGCCTTCAGCCTGGAGGTGGAGATGATTAAGTGATCATTGGGAAACGGAGGCTGAGTCACAGTTTTCATTGGTGTAGCTCATCGAGTTGTGAAGAGCTGATGAGTGTTCTGTGACCTGTGAACACCGACAGCGTGCTCTGACGTGTGTTAACCGGCTCTCGTGATCAACACATTTCTTTCACTTATTGTAATTTTCTTCTTGAATGTTTTTACAGCCACATTTGTAAAGCTGTCTGGATGTGGCTGGATTAAAAGTTGTACTAGTCACGTTTTTACCGTGCACAGTTTTGTGACGTAAATGTTTCAGTAAGCTGCTCTCCTCACACATTGTGAACTGAACTCTTGATGCTGCCAGCACAAACTTCTTCTTAAGAGATGTTTATACTTAAAGGTGACCTATCATGCAAAATGCACTTTTGTGCGTCTTTTCTACATGAACATGTGTCCCCGGTGTTCCAGGGAACTCACCAAGTGTCAGAAAACACAACCCTCTCTATTTTCCTCCATACCCAAATCTCTTAAAAAGGGGCTGCAACGGATCTGATACAGACTGATCCAGATTTGAACACTTCTATGACGTCACAGAAGTGGCGCTACGGCTATTGGGCCAACTCCAGCAATCAGGAGGAGACAGCCACGACATTGCCGTTGGAAAGCGCTGGAGACGCTGTAGTACATATGCCAGGCCTGTAGATGGTGCTGTTCTCACAGAATCAGCCCATGCAAAGACAGTGTTCAATTGAGCGAAATGAGGAATGGCTAAAATGCATGATCTGTTTGGTATTTTGAAAAATAAAAAGTATAAATATGCCTTATATAGGTATGGTCCTACACTATATTATTAAAATATAGCATGATAGGTCCACTTTAAAACCCCTTTCCCTTCACGTTTATATCTTGGAGCTCAAACTGCTTCTGGTTTTTCCTTTCGTTATCAGCTCCAAGTGAAAGAGACCTCTTGTCAGCTCCTCAGGTGAACGCTCACATCGTCCACTGCACTCACACACACTCACTTACACACACTCTGCTCTCTTACAGTCTAGAGTAGCACTCAAACACCCATCAACGCCGGCTCCAGTGTGCCCCTCAGTGAGGGTAAGGGCCCTTTGTCAAGCCACGTAACACAATAATGGTTAGGGAGAAGGACTCGACTGCAGCGAGAACAGTACATTTTGTTTTGTGTGTGTGTGTGTTACTTGTGAATGTCAAATAAAACAAGTGCAGGAAGCCTGGGGTGTTTCCATGTGCTGTTTTCTTCTGCATTGTTATGTAACGGAGACCTGTCACTTTCGTTCTCTACTGGGAGAGCTACAGTACGCAGCATCACATCTCCAGTTGGCCGTCGTTAATTATTCATGTGAAACGGCTCAGATTTGACATTGGATTGCAGTGCATGAATGTTTCATGTGGGTCATTAAACACCGGGGCAGCAGTTCTGCATACAGAGGCATTTAGTGTTCATTAAGATGGGAGCCGAACAAATGTTTTGCGTTAAAAACTGTAGCACTTTTGTCCTGGAGAGTCCTCGGTGTTATTTTAATAAAGCAGCATGTTCATTATGTGGCAGAAGGAAAATAAAACTGTGCTGATTTAAAGCTCATTTTCACGACTGATGATACTATAGAGTTTGAATGTTCCATTTACATTGATTGGAATATGAAGGTCATTTTCCCAAGAAGATGCAAATAACAAGCAAACGCATCTGATATATAGAAGCTGTATAAAGAAATGGTTTTACTTAGAAAGAGTAAGATGTCTTTCTTTACTGGAGCGAACACTACATTTTTCTGAATAGCCTCCACATTTGTGTTGATTACTATATATTGTATATCTAGCAGAGGTGGAAGAAGATTACTTACTTAGATGCTACAGTGTGAAAATACTCAGCTACAAGTACAAGTCCTGGAAAGTAAAAGTAATAGCATCAAGATATACTTAAAGTATCACAAGTTGAAGTACTTATTATGCAGAACAGCCCATTTCAGCACCATATATTTTAAATGATTGTATTAAAATGATTGGTGTATTAATGTGTTCATCACTTCAATGTTGCACTTGGTAAAGACGGGTTTCTTTGAATGACTTTATAGTCAAACTTTAATGTCAATCTTACTGTGTTTACAGACCGAGAGATCGAAATGACGTTTTCCTACACTACTTGGGTAGCTTAACCTATTCAATATTTTTAGTGTAGTAAAAGCATAAAGCAGCATAAAATGAAAATACTCAAGTAAAGCACAAGTACAGTACTTGAGTACCTAGTTATATTCCACCATTTATATCTAGGGGGTATTTCTTCACTGTTTTAACGCTTCACTTAAATGAGAAACATTTCAATCTGTAACAGAGAAGTGTACTTGAGGTTCAACAATCTAAATTATACCATGTCCTTAACTGAATTCAATACGGACAGATTGAAATTGCATCACCAGAAGAAAACCAATCTTTGTTTAAAGATATTGAGCCTGCACCTTTCAGGAATCTTCATGAAATATTCACGAGTTCGTATTGATCTTTTTAAAGTGTGTTTACCGAGACTGCAGTCCGGGTTCATCTGCGTGTATTTTGCAGCTTTTTCTCTTGGTTTAAGTTTAATGAATGCCAATTTCAGTTGTGCCACTCCAGCTATTTTCCCTGCATCTACACTGCTCTGACCCGCTTTGTTTTATTTGTTTTTCTGAAGAACAACAGAATGGTAAAGGGAAAGCATTGAGGGGGGGGGGAGAGGTTATATGTAGGCAAATGAATATTCAGCAAGGCGAGGAAATGAAATACTTTCCTTCTGCAGTCTGAAATGACAAGCTCCGTCTATAAATAGTGAAGCGTAGATGAAAGGATGAATAAGGGATATTTAAATGTGGCTTTTTCTCTGTTTGCTAGGTGTCAGAAAGTTATTTCAAACAGATCAGTGTACCATTTAAGTCCTCAGCTCTGTATTTCTCCTCCTACTCACATGTCCTGGATTGCACTCAAATCCGCTGGAGCGATGCAGGACAAGGTTTTACTGAAATGGCACAAAACAGTTATAAAAGTAGTATTGTGCACGAAGGTCGGACATCAAACAGATGCTTTATACTCCCTCGATGTGACACAACAATATTCTCATCGCGTTGAATGAGCAATAAACGGAGAAAAGGAATGAGTGAGCAACATAATATATTCAACACAGATCAATGGCTATACATTAGAAGGCAATTATAGGGCTAATCCAACATCACCGTTCCACCTTTACATTATAATTACTATAACAATAAATACCCAGGCTCATTTGGTTCTAGAGAAATACTTCATTGTACCAAGAAAAAGGCATTTTCTCTGGAGAGAAATTATTTTACATCAGAAGTGTAAATCAACACTGAAACATAAATCATATCTTTATTACCCCATGTTGCAGGGCACACACAATGTTCAAGTATGCCTGAGGAACTAATTGGAGCAATTAAAAAAAGAAAACAATGTAGAATAAGAGATAAAATGCATTTAAAAATAAGTGAACTGGCATTGCATTTCACAAAAATTCATAAGCTCATGATTTTGGAACAATTCACTGTAAAGTGCTAATTGGTTTGAGCTGAGAAAAGCACATGTTCCCTTTGAAAGATCATACACATTACTTTATACATGGATGTACAGTAATAGCCAGTCCTCAGGCCAGCAATTACCAACCAGAAGACATGGACCACAATTCATGTATTAGTCCTTTAATAAGATAACTGCTTCCTTAATTTCCTTGTTAATGGTAACAACGAGAATCTTGCCACTGGGTGCCAGGACAATGCCAATTACAAATGCTGGTGTTGTCACTGTACAGTTTTCCTTCTTTCCTTGTAATTACATGCAATTGACCGACATACAGTATCAAAAACCTCAAGTCAAGTCCTTTTACAGATAGGAATCCTTGAACCAAAGGGATGTGTGAGGAGAGGAGAGCAATTATTGAGGAGTGCAGGAGACCATCCTATATTCCTCTTCCTCTTCCTCTCCCCCTCCCGGATGTGGTGGGCTGGCCCGACAAAAGCCCGCCTTCCTACAGGTCCTGAGAATCCACTGTTTTCCTTTGTGCCTCTCATTAGGATGCACATTTAAAAAAAAAAAAAAAAAAAAAAGGAAATAAAAATATCTGGAGGTGTCTGGGTCAATAAATCTTCCCCTACTGTCCGCCTAAGGCAGACGTTGATCCCCCCCACCCCAATCCTAACCATACAAAGGTAAAAACAAGGTGTACTGCAGAATGGCTTTACTCCTCACAGTCTGTGGGGGGCGCTAGAGCCCCTGGGAGCTGAGGTGCGGTTGGTGGTCTTCCGGCTGTTCTGTCGTGTCTGATTTATCTTGGCGGCCAAAGGTTTCCGAGCGTCGGGCTTGCGCCTCCCCTGGGGGCCCCTCCGTTTGCCCCTCTTCCCCGCACGGCCCCTCCCGGCCCCCGCTGGTCACTTGCGGGAGTGCAGTGTGTCCTGGAACTTGGTGCTGGTGTAACGCACGTGGAATCCTTTCTTGTTGATGGTGTCGTCGGAGTGGAACTTGATCACAATGGAGTCACCGGCCGAGTAGATCTCCTCTGGAGGCTGAGGGGGGGAAACAAGAGATTCATTTGTATCGTCACTTTCTGCTCCTCGGACTGCACTTCAACAGAGGTGGGAGAAGTAGGCCTACCCAAATATTGTACTTGATTAAAAGTAGAAGTACCAGAGTGTAGGAATACTCTGTTACAATTAAAAGTCCTGCATTCAAAATCTTACTCAAGTAAAAGTAGAAAAGTATGAACACATATACTTAAAGTCCTCATTATGCAGATCGGCCCATTTCAGAATAATATATATTATGTTTTGATCATATTTATTGATGCATTAAAGTGTTATCAAAGCTGGTAAAGGTGCCGCTAGTCTCAATGACTCTGCTTTTGAATTTACTCCAAGTGTAACTAATGTCTGATTTAAGAGTTGATTATGTTTTATATCATTAATCCAAAACTGCAAAGTAACTGAAGATATTAAATACATGTAGCAGAGTAAAAGTACAATATTGATCTCGAATTGTAGTGGAGTAGAAGTACAAAGTAGTGCCTCGAAATTGTCAATTGTACTTAAGCACAGTACTTGAGTAAATGTACTTAGTCACTTTACAACACTGAACTTCAATTAAAACTAAGACTCCTCACATGCTGATACTGAAGTCTGATCATTGACCACGACGAAAGGCTTCTGACTGCAGAGGACTGCTACTTCTGTAAGAGCCAGGGGCCCCGCAAGGGTCTGGGACTGTACGGCTTTATTCTGATTAAGGCTCTGGCTGCTATTGAAGTGAGGGTAAAATAAAACTGAAGATTAGTTCCATGTGCAGCGCTCGACAAAGCTCATTTCTCCCCTGAACAAAACCATACACTGCACAGCACTTCTAAAATGTCATGAGTACAAAGCCTGCCCTCTCCAACGAAACAAAAAGGGGAATTCACTTTA